CCGCGCGCCTCGCCGAGGAGCGGGGCGCGTGCGGCTGCTGCGGGGCGCGGGCAGAGCCCGGCGCTGCCTCCGCGCCTGTGTTTCCTTCGCTTGTTGCCTTACACTGACTTAYTTACTTGTGCTAGTCGGCAGTGACAAAAGGAGCGCCATAACGCGGGTAGGATTTTACACAAACTTTGATGCTTACTTTTTTGTTTTTTGTTTTACCTTCGTCGGACAAAATAGTAAAGTTTTATTCAAGTTTTGATGATGCCCTTCCCTCCCCGTTCAGTTTTAGTGCAGCTCCTGAGGTTGCTGTGATGGAAGAGCACATGCTAAGTTCAGGTCTCTCCTCCTCAGCGCCTGCACATCAGTAACTTCCCCTCAGGAGTAAAATTTCCCCATGAAATAAGAGGCYGCCGGATTCGGATGGCTCCTCTGTATGTGTATGTGCCCCTGCACCTTTTCCCGTCGTGCAGCTGCCCAGCATTCGTTGGCTTTTATTTGTTTCCTGSTTGTTTTTTAAAGGCTGCGTTTGGAAGCTTGCAAAACGCCTTTTCTGTTGCTGTTGTTTCRTTTAAGCTACCAAGATAATTTAAAAGCTTGCTCTATTTTCTATAAGTTAAGGAACTTATTGAAACCTTGTTTAAATGACCGCTCTTGCAACCAGAGGAGCCTTTTAACGGAATGATTCGGTCCGTCTGTGCGGAGCCTGGGGAAGCGTCCCCTTGGCCGCGCTCGCCGCAGCGCGCGGCACCGCTCCCCGTGCCGCCCAGGGGCCCTCGGCGCATACCGAAGAGGCCAGATGTTAATCATGAACTTGGTAAAGCTGAAACACAGCGGCTCTGGTTCTGAGGAACATCAGTTATTCTAGCCATGAGATCTAAACCTAAATGATTTATTTAGTCTTTTGTTGAGAGGGTGAAAGGTGAATCGAACCCCAGGCCTTTTTTTGGTCTTTTTTTTTTTTTTTCCCTTTTCCCAACGCCCTATGGAGGCCTTTTTTGGGAAGCACCCGCTGCCTGCTCTGTTTGTGCTGCGGCTGGTCTATTTTGGGGAATTCCCAAATACGCTGGAGCGCGGCCGCTGGGGCAGCGCAGCTCTTCCCCRCGGGATCCGCAGCGCTGCAGCCCGGAGCCTGTGCCTGAGAGCGGGAGCATCGTGTTTGTTCCAGTTCATCCCCTTAGCGTCACCAGCAGGCCGGGAAGAGGGAGACTTATTAATTGCTGTTATTTAAGTGGTGTCCGACAGGGCTGTTTTCTGTGCGGTCTGAGACCGGCAGTGAGCTCCACGAGCGAGGCCAGGTGCTTGGGTGCCCCTTTGGCTCCGGTCCCCCTCCTCCCTGCCCCTCTCGCGGTGCCTTTGGGAAGGTGAAATAAGGCGCCCAGCAGCTCTCGAGCTGGAGCGCCGCTTGTGCGGATCCTCCCCTGTGAAACTGTCACTAAAATAAACACGGGCGTGAGGGCTGCCAGGATCGGGGCCAAGTTTGAATAAAGGGGAAAGAGCCCTTGGAAACAGAGCTATCAATTGCAAAAGCTGCAATTGAAAGACTTAAAAATAAGCGTATCRCTTAGATGAGATTCACTGAGCATTTACAGTCGGTGCCTTTTGGCAGCGCGTTGGCTGGTTCGCTGCTCGGGGATCTCACATGGGCAGCGTCGCATGAGAAGCCGTGATCCAGCATGGATTTATGCGGACGTTAAACGTTATTGGAAGTTAATTAGTTATTAGCATTTCCTTGGTGAGCTTAATTAACTGGCCAGATGCGCGCGGAGATGCGGCGCTGCGGAGCGGGCGGCCCGGCTCTCGGTGCCTCTGCAGCCCTGGGGAGCGAAGGGCAGTGAGGGCCGCGCTTCCACGTGTGTCATTGGCTTGTATATTTAGGCTTGTTTGTGCTGCTGCCCTTTCTGAGAATTGGGAGCGTTCTTAACCAATGCTCAAGGGCCTGCATTGCTATGGTAAAGCAGGAAGTAACAGATATTTCTGTTTGTGGAAATATGATTCTGGTATGTTCCTTCTATTTATATTATCAGAATAGGAACCATTCCTTGGGCTGTCTGGGAAAAGCGAAGAGCTGTGAGGTAGTTATCAAGGCAGGGGGAAGCCTTCCAACTCTGTATCATAGTCATATTATTTCACTGTTTCTGTTTTTGTGCCATATCTAACTGACAAGGGCTATGTAATACTAAATATAAAAGTTTAAAATGGTGCATGTATTTCTTTAGAGCAAAAATTTGTGAAAGATTGCTAAAATTGCCTTATCAGCCTATATACAGAAATACAGAAATCTGCAACAAAACGTTATTAAGAATTCACTAATAAAGAAGTAGAGGCAAAAGGCCACCTCTCGAGTGGGTATGTCTTACTGCAGCGTGGGAGCGCAGATGTAAGCGGATGGGAGCAGCACAGCTGCAAGTACAAGTTCGTAGTGATCAAAACCAGTCTAATTCAGTCAGATCTAATAATAAGGACAGTCACACTCACCCTGTTTATATTTCAATTAACGATGCCTTTAGTTTGCACTCCGTAAAAATGGAGTGACTAGGTTGACTCCTAGGTAAGGTGACATTTGTTTTCTTTATTTCTGTGAGCTTTATGCTCTGGTGGCATCACACACACTGGTCACTTGTAGGGAAGATTGAACAAAAGTGTGGTAAAAAATGTTCAGTTTTGCTATTTATGGCTTCAGTGAAGTTTTGTCTAGGAATATGTCCAATAAAATATTTAATGCTTGTAAATCTCCAGATTCCCGGCAAAGAATTAGTTAGTAAAAATATTCTAAAAATGAGATGTGCATATAACATTGTGTTCTTTGTATTTATTCCCGTGTTTGTATTTAAAGGACACTAGAACGGCTGAAGTAATCTGTTAAATTGTACTGTATAGGCAGTGCAAGTTGTAATAAGAATTAATATTTTTTCAAGTATGTTTGTTTCTTCTGGTGTTAGATAAAGCATTCTTCACATTCATATACAGAAGCCCAGATTTAAAAGCAAATGTTGACTCTGGATGGAAAATGAGTGCAATAAGCAGTGAAACAAATGTCATACCATAAACTTTAACATGGCTTGTGTCACCTGGGAGAACTTCCACCTATGTTCGTCTACTTTAAGAACCTACACTTAATATTTCTTTGCATATTGACCTGGCAGCTTCAAAAAAAAGTTAATTTACCAATTATTTCTGTTAGTTTGTTTCTATTTAAATTCGGTCCTTCTAGGGTTTTGGAGCTGGCAACATCCCTGTTGCCAGTGTTGGGATGTTAGAGAGGACATCAATGATAACTGAAAATAGGGTTTGCACTGGCCCCTTTCCAGGGCCTGCTCAATATCACCCTTCACATTGGGAAGGGAACATTGTTTTTCCAAATGCCTTTAATGAACTGTTGTATTAATAGCTCCTGGCACCCTGTAATTTCACCTTAGAGGTTTTAATACCATCCTGTGCTGATTTTTAGCTATTATAAGCATTTACGACCTCTTGGAAGACACTTAACCTGGACTGTAGTTGCAGATGCAGTAGATGGAGTAGGTTACTCGAGGCAAACTGCAGAGTCCCAGCATGGACTTTAACAACAGAAGTATCAGCTGGCTCAAGCAACATGAAACAGGCTCGATGTGATCTCAGGATTTGGTGCTAACGGAAGTATCTGCTCTCCTGCCTCCTGGGATGGGACATGGAGCAGGTGCCTCCAGTGCCACCTCTGGCAGCCTCCCTCAAAACAGGGAATTCTGGCAAAGTGACCAAAAGTCTSATGAAGTGACCAAACCGAGCGACCGTTTCGGTGCGGTTAGGTGCTCAGCCGTTGCTTTAGCATGGAATTCTCTGTGGAGTTTTAAAAGTAGTAAAGGAATTTGATCATTGCAACACAAAAGTTTTGTTGCAAAATGAGGTATTTAACATTTGACCATGTGTGTTGTCCTTCCTTCTCTCCTTGTGAACATGCATTTGGTTTTATTCCCAGGAAATCGGAATGTTAACAGATGAAATTTTGCTATTTTTAAGTTAAGGGGATGTTCTGTCTTGATTGTAGAATAAAGCCATCCTTTCTGGGAAGTTTCTCTTTATTTTGTAACTAACTCTAGAAGTGGATCTACATGCTTATTTTAAAGTCATTCAAGTGCTTATATTATATCCGAGCTAGAGACTGTTTCTTTTCTGGCATAAGTAAACTGCAGAAATACTACCTAGCAGCTTTTCAAACCAATTGTGGGTACTTATCAGAACCGAAAGTAGTTATTTCCATCCAAGTATGTATGACCTTTCAGCAAAGCTATTTTACTGGCATTTATCTAAATTACATGGTGTTAAAAATACAGCCAAACAAGTCTGACTTTTTCTTAATTATGTACACATTCTGCTTTGACAGGCTGAAATGTGATTTTATTATAGCTTCAACTTGTCTTTTATACTTTTGGATGAGGTCTAACGTGAATGTAATTTGATGGCATTTGTTTTTCTCTGTATTATTAGAAGCAGAATGATATTCTAAGCATCTGTTTTTCCTCCTTTTTGTGCCTTTCTCCTGGCAACAGATTTAACTGAAAATGTTTACATAGCTTCGAGAAGCAGGAGAGAACCTAAAACTGCCAAGGCAAGCGAAGTCCCCGAGGCCAGGCCGCAGATGAACAGCATCACCGTTTCGAAGAAGCGCAACTGGCTGCACCAGAGCACGCACAGAGCTCCTCACACGGAAGAGGAAAACACGTGTACRAGAACGCAAGGGGCTCTTATCCAGGTACCAGCATCTCCTAGCCCGTTGCCGGAACCCAAAATCCAGGCGGTTCCTTCCCGGTCGCCTGTGGGGCCGGAGTGTCCCGCAGGACCCTGCGCTGCTGCCAGCGCCGTTCCAAGCGGCGCGAGCTCCTTTGTCCCGAGAAGCTGCGCTCTGGACTTCAGCGAGGACAACGATGCCGACGATGAAGGAGAAATATGGTACAACCCCATCCCTGAGGATGATGAGCCYGACTGGCCCAGAGCCCGCAGCTCGGGTGTGAGCCGCTCCGGTACGACGCGCTCCCAAGCCGCCGGCTACAAAACGGGGAGACACTTGGCTCAAGGCGGGGGGGCCCCCGAAGGCCCCCCTTGCCCGTCGGGGAGCAGTGGGACAGTCCAGCCCGGTGAGCCGGCTCCCGGCGAGGCCGCGCGTGCCCCGGAGCACGGGCAGCTGCCCAGGCCCCGGCTGGCGGGCAAGGCGCAGGGCGGGCCGGCCCCCGAGGACTGCTGTGCGGCCAGGTGCCCCCCGCCAGGTAAGAGCGAGCATTAAAATGTTATGTCCTCTCTTCCTCTCCTCTTCCTCTCTTCCTCTCCTCTTCCTCTCTTCCTCTCCTCTTCCTCTCTTCCTCTCCTCTTCCTCTCTTCCTCTCCTCTTCCTCTCTTCCTTTTCCCCCTCTTTTTGCCTTTCTGAAGTAAATTTCCAGTGGAAATGATTGATAATTTCTTAAAAATTACTCTAACAATGACATGAATATCTGTTAAATGCAGACCTGCACAATGATTTGTCAGTCAGTTTGTTCACCTCACATGTATGGAGGCATGTCTTAGATTATCTTGACTTGAAGTCTAATACCCTGTTGGAAAGTTTGCATTAATTACCTAGACTGGTTATAATTGCGTTGCAAGATAGGTGAATACCATGTTCTTAGGAGACTTTTTCTTCTGTAGATCTCCTAAGTGCTTGAGAAATACCACTCAGCATGATTATCTAGGAAAGCCACGTGCTTGTCCTGCACACTCTTTGACCCTCATTTAGGAGATGAATTTTTCATATGTAGGTGACTCCACTTTTTTTTCCATGGGTGTATGTCTTCATGTGTGAAGAAAGATTTTTCTATGTTTTCTTTCCTACGCTGAGGAAGCATTTATTTCTGAAAGCAAAATTTCTGTTGAATGTATCTTTCATGAAGTCAGGAAAAAAATATGAATTTCTCCTGATTGGTTTACTATGTATTGAGTTAATTAAGCTATTTAAATGCAGTTCTGCTTTTGTGTGCGTTGAATAGTGATCACGTTGAATAGATGGATTGATGATGAAGTGGGTCCCTGCTGCTTGGTAATTGGCTTTATTATGGAGAAGTAGTTTAGTTCMTTTTAATCCCTTTAAGGTGTCTACAGTTATTTTCAGTTAAATTTAAAATGACAGCTCATCTATAGAAAATTACTGTGTGAAGGGCAGCATGGCCAATTTAACTTTATTTGCATTAGGACAGAGTTTGAGTTACATGTGCAGTTGCTGTGAGGTAGATGTCTGTATTGCTAGAGAGCTGCATGCTTTGAGCAGTAACACCTGACATACCTGATAGTCACTTGGAGAAAAATCTGCTTATTGAAGTGATGTAAGCTTATTTATGTCAATACTAGTGAGTATAGGAGTTGAAAGTAGTAGAGAGGTCTTAGGAAGCAAATACAAAGGAAAATATAGGGTACTATTAAAGTCAACAAAGTATGGATTTTGTTCATTGTGTTTTCTACTGCTTTCTTTGGAAAATGCAGGTAATTGAATGCTTTAAACTTCAAAAAGTCCTGCCTTACTTGGATCTCATACTGTAGAGAGAAGAAATGTGCYTGGATTTTTCATTTGTCTTCTAGCTATTAATTTAATGAAAGAGTTCTTGTTATATGAGTAATACAAATTATAAATGGTGGGATTCATTTATTGGGAATTTTCCCAAGCGAAACAGCAAATATGTGTTTCCTGTAAGTTTTGTCAGAATGTGGCTGATAATTCCAGAGGTGCTAATTTGCCCCATAATTTTACCCCCAGTAGTTCCTGCTGTTAATCAGGTTACTTTCTCGAGTAATTTCCATTTATATTAATAGGATTTGTCAGGTAGTTCCTCAGTAAATCATTCCAGCCCTGCTGTTTTTTAAACAGAAACTGGCTTAAAATAAAATGCTACTATATCAGATCTTGAAAAATAATTAATGTATTTTGTCTATAAGAAATAAACAGAAGAATAGAAAGTAATTTGTTTCTGAATTAACAATGTAGAACCATAGAGCATCAGCTCTACTTTTAGACCCATTGGAAAAAAAAAGTTAAGTTGGAGGAGACTGGCACAGATGATTTTAGTTTTTATATGTATTTAAGGCAAAATGGTTACAACTATAAAACTGGCATTTTTGGTATAGTTTTTCATGTGTTTTTAGTTCTTTGCATATATAAAATGCTAAAGAAAATTTGCAATACAACTCCTTAAGACTTATTTTTAAGTGTGTGTKTTTTATCGCTGTCTCTTGCAAAATGGTTGAGGGATGACATCTCTTTATAACGCTGAATAGTTCCTTGTGAATACCTGTAGTATTTTTTTATTGTGGGGAGGGATTTTTATCGGGGTTAAGCATCCAGCTAATCGGTGTGATCAGGACACACACGTCTCCCTCAAAGACACCCTAGCAGAGTGTCTGATTGGTATCTGGTGAGGATCTTGGCTGTGCTTTTGCACTAAACACATGCCTGTGTTAGCTGTCTGCTAACGGGAGCTAGACAAAATTCAAATTAGAAGCAAATTGCTTTTTCTTCATTTATGGCATGACGACTACCCCAGTATAGAGAAACCTTGTGCCAAAGCAGGCCAATATTTTGCTTGCTGAGATTTTGCGAATGAGCTTCCAAGGCGTAAGGCGTGCTGAGCAGCACATCCTGCTTCCCAGCTTCCTCCTGCACATATGTTGCAAATATTTTTTGCTTGATTCTTTTCAGATGGAAGATGCTTTATGATGTAGCTGTGCAAAGAGTTTTGGTTTCCTAGAGAGAGAAAAAACCCATTTATGTGAAATACCTTAATAATGTCTGAGTTACCAAGATGACTTGGCGTGTGATGGAAGGGGATGCAGCAACGTGAGGCTGGTGTTGGTGGCGGGATGAGCGTTCGGGAGGCAGCAYGGAAGGGCATCGCTCCTCCTGCGGATCTGCTGGGCTCCCTCCTTCCCCTCCGGAGCTGAGAGCAGCCTCTTCGGGGGCTTTTCCCGAGGTTGTGCCTGTGCTTTTGGAGGGCCAGGGCATATTCATGCCCCTGTGTTTGATCCATCAAAGACTCCTGATGAAAGAGGCAAAGGGATGTAGCAGGAGCAGTTAGTTTAAAGTAGTTTCCACCGYTTTCAGTATTTGTGCTGAGCAACTGCTTTTATCACCATACTTCGGAATTGGAGGCAAAGCTACTTCTTTATTATTATTATTTTTATTTATATATTTATTTATTTTCCAAATGCAGTGAGGGAAGGGCCATTTCATGAGACTGGCCCACGTGAGCGGTGCTGGATGGCCAAGCTCGCAGTGCTACTGCTCGTGTGCTCTTCTGTTTTCATTTCATTCATTCATTGTGTTTTCATTGTGTTTTCATTTATTAAAAAAAAATAATTTTAATATTTTTTCACATTTAAGTCATTGGTTTGATTTAAAAATTAAGAAAAGGTATATTAAGTTTAGACATAAGGGTAACGGTTTTTGAAAACTAAGCCACTCAATGCAATTTGTTTTTCTTTTCTTTCTAAAATAAAATATCTGTCTCACCTTCATTTCTRATACTGTTATCTTCAAGATAAACCTTTAAGTATGGTGAACCTATTAAATATTTCTGAAAAATAATAGGAAAAAATAAATTGCTTGTCCGCTTCAGGTTGGTCTYAGCATTTCCACTAGTTAGCAGAGTRGCTTTTTTGATGCTGTAATAGCTTGCTGTAGTAGGGAACTGAGGTCACCTTATTCATCCACCTCAACTTGTGGTCCCCAAAATAAATAACAAGTTTTCCAAAGAGCATGAAAATAACTCCGACACCCTACCTAAAGCGATGGGGATGCAGAATAGGCACTGAAAGGAGCCTGTGGGCCGGTGTGCATTGCTGGCAACGAGCGTGACAATGACTTATGTGCCCGAGTACGTGTCAGCAGTGTTGAGGAGGGTCAGACACGGTGGGTTTGTCTGTGTGTTTGTTTCTGTGCTAGATCCTTGCGTGTGTCTGGCAGGCGCTGTGCTGTAAGTGCTTGAGGTGTTCCAGGTCCTGCTCATCCCCTCGGGCACGGTTATGTAGGCATGGGTTTCACCATGTCTGTCCGTGATTGAATGGACAACGTTTCTGTAGCCAAGGCCAGGATGGGATCGTGGAGGCGCAGGAATTAGCAAAAAACTCCATTTCGAATGGTCTGTGTCTACTTGGATAAGAAGAAAAGCTTTAATCTTTTAGCTAGTCATGCTACACAACCAAGTGGAAATTGTCTTTGCTAATAAAACTGAGAAAACAACTTATGGCAATAATTGCTTAMAATGTCAAGTCCTCCTTCATTGAGTGTCGTTCCCTTTCAGGGAAGTGCTGACTTGCCCAGTGAGAAACTGCCCATCTTTGTATTGGGTTGTCCCTCTAAAGCCGTTTTCTGTCTCCTTGTCCTGATGGAGCCTCCAGAAAGAGCAATATCAAGGCAGAAGGTCAGCTGCGCCCTYCAAAACTGATTCTCCCCCTTGCTGCTTTGGTAGTTGTTCAAGCAGCAGGTGCCTCTCATGTTTCCTCTCCTCCTGCCATCCTTCCACTGGGATAATTTTGAAATGTTAAGATAGGATGTGCGTGATAGAGCAAGCAGGGGACGGGCTGGTTCGGGCTCTGCCTCCGGAACAGCCTTGGCACTTGGCAAATTGTAAAAGGAACAAGCAGCAACTTAATCCTCCAGCCCCCTCAGGAGCAAGCCCTATAAAAGAGGCGGGTTTGGAAGGGAACCGCCGTTCGGCTCTGCTCCGGTTCCTTTCTGCAGATTGAGCAGTTGCCTAGTGTACACTCCTGGAAATGGTGCGCATACCTCAGCACATTGCTGGCTTTAGTGGAACAACATGTGGCTCAATCCTGATGGGAATACCGGGCTGCATAATACTCGCCTGTTGAGCTCCTTTCAGCCGCATGCTTCGTTTTAACCATTTGGAGTTGAAAGCGGCACGAGTTGGACACATCAAGTGGGAAGGCCAGGAAGTGCTCGGGTTTAATGAGACGGAGGCAAGTTGATTTTGCTGGCCCGCTCTCCGCAGCCCGTGCCAGGGCCTTTGGACAGAAAAGGAAGATTAATGTTAGCGGGCAGCAGTATGGCACCGATTGCTGCCGAGTGCCGCAGGGCAGCCCACCAGCGGGACCGCGCCGTGAGCTGCAGTACAAGGGAGGGCTTTGTGCAGCTTTGTCGGGCCGCAGCGCTCCTGCTAGCCGCTTGCCAGGAGAGCGGGGCAGGCCTGCGCCAAACTGCCCCYGCGCCCTGCGCGGGAACGGCCGCCGCGAGGGGCAGCGCTGCAGGAACGCGCCTCCCGCGCTCCGCAAAGCAAATCTGTGCGCTAGTCCTCACATCTAAACTCCTTTTTGACTCGGGATTTTAAGTAGCTATCTGCTGAAGTTGTTAAAACCAAACTTATGCCGGGAATAAAATCAGTCTTAATGTTTTTTGAGGGGAGGAGAAGGAAAATAAAAAAAAAGATCACTTTTGCCAAAGTTGTAATGAGGACGAGGTTGCCTGATTTTACTGCTTAAATGAAGTATAAAAAGTAATGTTGAAACAGTGAAAATTTAATCTGTCTAAACACAAGAACTTTAAATACCACTTTAGTTGTTCAGTGACTTAGATTTAAAGTAGTAAGTTTAAAGATAAAACAAGAAGGCCTTTGAAAAATCTGTAATAGAAACCATGGTTCTGTATGTACGAAGTATAATTTGCCAAGTAACACTTCTTTCTTGCCATTTATATGCCAAAAACAGATTCTGTCTTGTAGCAAGGGGGGCTAACTGATGCATGTAGATGTTGGAGGATCTCCGAGCTGCTTGGGCTGATTGCAGCAAACAAGGATCAGGATGTTTAGGGGCTCTGTGGTACCTTGGCATGTATGTCCAAAGCTGCACAAGTCCTCTTGAGAACTGCTAAATTTTGTAAAAGCAGTGAATTAACGTGGTGGTTATTTCTACCAAGCCGTATCAGTTTCTCAAGGGACAGAAGAGTAACTGTAAATGAAAGTACTCAGGTAGTTTTATTCATATCTATCACCATGGGGCAAGTTCCCCTCTCACATGTTCCATTTACTCATGTAAATGCATYGCCTTTCCTGTAGGCATTCCTGCCTCATGCTGATGAAAGTGAGCGGGTTTCAGCTCTAACCTGAGATTTGTATTTCCTTGGGTATTGGAGCATGGGGTGAACCACAGGTGTGGACTCTGTGCATTATGTGCAGAAAGTTTTGTTGTGCTGGGTTATGCATAATCATAATTGGTGGTCTTTCACTGATGAGGAAATCTTTTTTTTTTTCTTTTTCTTTCTTTTTCCTGTTCTGCCTTCGTGTCTATTGAGGGTTTTTACTTCAAAGTTAGTGACTTCCCTTGTGGTTATCCTCTGGCGACTGGGTTACTCCAAGCCCTGTTGGGAGCTGGTTGTGTCAGGAAGGAGGGAGAGCTGCGTAGCTCGGGTAGGTGGGATAGGCCTTTTGTTTGTGTGTAGCTTGTGGCCCTTTCATCGCCACAGAGCAGAACAAATCAGGCTCCTGCCTCCTAACTGCAGAATTTGGCTGAGTAAGTCAGCAGAGTATGGCTTTCTTAATGCTCAGGAACATGTCACTGTTGAATGATGGTTGTCTGAATGGATCACATTTATCAAATTATGACAATTCAACATGTTTCCCCCTAGCTCAAGGCTTTTTTTAAGAAAAAAAAATGTTGAACTGTTTTATAAAAAAAAAAAAATAAAATTATTCCTTCTGTTTTCTTCTAAAGGATCTGGAATTGCACTTGCGTCCAAGGCTGACATACCACCAGCAGAAATTTCTCCTCCAAGTCCCAGTCCTTTGAAAAAAGGTGGATCAATCAACTGGCCTTTTCCCGATAGAATTAAATCTCCCAGAACTGTGAGGAAACTTTCCATGAAAATGAAAAAGCTGCCAGAGCTCAGCAGAAAGTTGAGTGTCAAGGGAACGTCAAGCCATAATAGCTGCGATAATCCTTCTTCCCTGCCGAAAGGTACCTGTCGGGATACAAGCCATACCACGTCTTTGTCATCTTCTGGAAGCTCCACGGCAGCTGCCAGCAGGAATGTGATAAGCCGTTACCATCTCGACAGCAGCGTGTCCTCGCAGCACACCTACAAGAAGAAGAGCATGAGGAGGTCCAAGTCCTCCAGCAAAGGTGGTTACCTCAGTGACGGTGATTCTCCTGAACTTATAACCAAATCAGGGAAACATGGACACGAAACCAAGTTTGGGAAAGGGAAGGACGCCCTTCCAAGCAACAGCAGTAAGGCCGAAATAGATATTGATGCTTTTAGACACTATAACTTCTCTGATCAACCCAAGTGTTCTCAGTACATCTCTGGACTCATGAGCATTCATTTCTATGGCGCTGAAGATTTGAAGCCACCAAGAATAGACTCAAAGGACGTCTTTTGTGCAATACAGGTTGACTCAGTAAACAAAGCAAGAACAGCCCTGCTTACATGTAGGACAACCTTTTTAGATATGGACCACACATTCAACATAGAAATTGAAAATGCTCAGCACTTAAAGCTAGTAGTGTTCAGCTGGGAACCCACCCCACGGAAAAATCGCGTTTGTTGCCATGGAACGGTGGTTCTTCCTACTCTCTTTCGAGTGACAAAGATGCATCAACTGGCTGTCAAACTGGAACCAAGGGGGCTTATTTATGTCAAACTGTCTCTCATGGAACAGTGGGAGAACTCTCTTGATGGTCTAGATGCAGTCCGAGAGCCAGTGATGTTTGGGGTAGATGCTCGAAAAGTTGTTGAGAAGGAGAATGCAGGCTTGATGGTACCGCTTTTGATGCAGAAGTGTATTCTGGAGATAGAGAAGAGAGGCTGTCAGGTACTGTACCTACTTTATTCTGCTTTCTTTTGTTAATGCTTCTGTGTCAGGATGCCTGTGGTTGTCAATCTTTGTACAGTTACTTTGGGAGCKTGAACAGTGAGTGGAAAAGAAGAAATGAAAAACATACTTCCAGAGTGGATATTTTTCCTTTTGCTACTCCTGTTGCCTGATGAATGCTGGCACTGTGATGCAGGGAGAGTGATGGGGCTGTGTGAAATCAGTCCTTGCAGCGTGGCCTCTGTGGGAAGATGCACGCTTCTGCACAGGCGTGTTGGGAGCAGGGGTAGATCAGTGAACCCACAGGCTCTAGCACCTACAGTTCAAAATAACACAGAGCTGAGATGAGAATTTGGAAATGTCTCGTTCCTGAGTTATGGCTCACGCCATTCCCATCTACCCAAAGCTGAGGCATCATGTCATCCAAAACAAAGGGATAGGGACAGTTCTGCTAATCTTTACTTACACATCTGCATGCACAGTCCCAATGGCAAACATTTCCCCAGGGAGATTCATCTGCAGATGCTGGGAGGACTTTCATCTACTGCTCTGTAGCGTGCTGAGCTCTTAGGTTCTTTGGCACGTACTCTTGCTCAAGTGAAAGTGGGAAGCAATCACACCTACCTCTCTTACTGTTACAAGATTAACCTTGCTCCTTATAACCTTGGTCATAAAATAGAGATAGAAAAGGCATTTCTGTGCAATTACTTTGCCAGGAGCCATTAGCAATAATACCTACTTGACTCGGTCTCGTTTTGAATAGTATTCTAACATTTTGCAAATCAGTAGAAAATTTGTTATAGCAAGTGTTCATTCCAGTACATATGTCCCATGCCTTCAGAATTTTATTTTGAGCTTGTTAGCACCAAGTCATGCAGATGACATTGGGTAATCAAGACATTACTGGTAATTAGGCAATTCAGAGCTGAATTGTCTGCATGTATGTTGTGCTTTTGAGCATGAAATTTAATTTGTGCATTTGCACAAAGAGGACAAAAATGCAAAATTTACAGTTAACTTCTCATTTTAAGTGTGTGTTTATGAACTTGGTGGAGGCTTTTGGCTTTTTGAAAGACTGCAGATTACTCTGTGTTTTGGTGTCACCCACACCTGCACTTCAGATGTGGAATTAGAAAACTTTATGGTTCATAGAAATTGCAGTAGGCAAATACAAGTTCGTGTTGCCTTCAGGAAGAGGGAGTACAAATTCCATTAGGTAATTTTCCATTTATTTTAGAAGGACTTATATCCAGGTTGTTCTGTGCTCATTAGCATATGGCTGGACCAATACTCCTGTCTCCAAACCTAGATTCACATTTCTGCCTCTTTTTTGACTTTCCAGTAATTTTGGACTAGTCATTTACTGCTTGCTACACCTGCCTGTAAAGTCCATTAAAAATATCTAATTAATACAACTGGRAATTAATTCCTTAAGATCTAAGGAGTGCTCTGTGTAAATGGTGTTTAGACAAATCAAAGTTATAACAGTGATAAAATGTAACAAATCTGAGTGCATGAAAGCACCCTGGATTAGTTTCCTGGATTAGCTGAATTCAGTCCAAGAGTGGTGTGGGTTTCGTTCCTGTCATCCCAATCATGTTAAATAGCCTCTCCTTTGCATAAARCTTTTCATATAATATTAAACGTGCTTGACTGTGTCTTGTGATCTTTAAAAGACTGTCTTGCAGATGCAATAATGCAATATCTGTGATTCTCTTGAAATTCTGGTTAGTGATACATATGTAATTTAAATTTTGTTTGTTATATATTTTTATAAAAGTGTGGTTAGGCATGTTCTATTTTTTTTAGATTTATAGCATTTTGTATTAGCAGCCGTTTTTCTGCTAATGATTAATGACTTGTCTATATTTTGGTAGATTGTACTTATTATAGATACTAGTATGCTTAAAGGCAAAATATTTATTTTCCTTATTTATTCTTAACCTCTAGTTTTATGTTGTAAGCAATTATACTAAGAAAAAAAGTGATGATCAGAAAATACAGGATAAAATAGGCTAGAAGTTTAGTCTCTGTTTGCAAAGCTTTGTGCAAGTACAAAGGACTCAGATGCGTATGGGTGACTTCTAAATGAAAACTGATATTCTGTCACTAAAATACTGCCCAGGGTGTGTGATACTCCAGAAAATATTGGTATCAGTCCCAACTCCATGCCCTCTGTAATRTTTTATATGCACGTTGTCATTTGACATCAATGGATGTCATTTGATTTTTTTTTCCCCCACTCTTTAGGGTTTTGTAAGGTTTGTTGGGAAACCCAACTGTCACCCCTGACATTTGGTGCAGTGTTTTGTCACGCTTGCCAGAAGAGCCAAACCGACGTGATCCATGTGCCCTGTGCAGGAGAGTAATCGCGTGCCCCGCTCTCTTTGCCTCTAGGTCGTGGGCCTCTATCGCCTCTGCGGCTCGGCAGCAGTTAAGAAGGAGCTTCGGGAGGCCTTCGAGAGAGACAGCAAAGCCGTTTCCCTCTGCGAGAACCAGTACCCAGATGTCAATGTGATAACAGGTAATAAATGTACCCGCTTTTGCTTTYAATGTACAATTGTGACATATTTATGAAATATGGTTTTTTTGAAGGTGACTTTTTAACGAGCTTTCTGGTGTCAGTTAGCAAGCTATTTGCTACGTTTTTATTGCTAAAGGTGAAATGAAAATAGCAGTAACCTTGATTATGTATAAATATGTGATTTGGAGGGAGGAAAAGAGGAGCTTTTAATACCTGCTTTATTAGTTGCAGAGGAAAGCGGCAGTTTGAAGGGAACAAGGTTCCCGGAGCAGACGACACCGTTGTTGTCAGTTTGCATTGTAGTAGGTCTGAAATTCAGTTGTGACTGGGAGCGGTGTTGCACCAGTAACTCTACAACACATGGTAAAAAGGCTGTTTCTGATCTGCCATTTCTCCTCTTTTTATATCAAAAATTGAAGGATTTGGGGAAAAAAAATAAAAGCAGCACAGTCCTTGAAGGTGAAACGGTTTTATAACTATTGATAATATCTGCTAYGTAAACCAAGGTKTATATGATTTCAAGGATCATAGATTAAACTGATTGCTTCAGGAAACTGGCAAGAAAACCAGTTTCATACGTATCCAGGTAGTCGGAGTATAAATTTCCTGTTGCAAAGCACTTTCTGTAACCTTGAAAGGAGCTGGACAGCTCTGTCCTGTTTGGTTTATTTCATGCTCWGTGCTTTGAGACTAAATTTGATATTGATGTATTTTGTAATTATAAGAAGTATTATCTGAAAACACTACTGCTCAGTGACATTCACTTTAAGAAAAGAACCTTTAGGTAAAGTGTGTTCAAGCAGCCTGTTCATCTCAGTTGTCTTGGCTGGTTGCAGTGCTGGGTCCTGTCTTCCTCACACGTGTTGGCTTTTCCAGAAGCAGAATCGTGGACTTACGTTTTACTCTGCTGTGATATATTCTTTATTAAGAGATGTACAGTGAATACTTCAGAATATGTTTTTGCATCATTTTTTTCTTCTCATTAAAAATACATTCATGAAAAAAGTGATGATAACTTCTAAAATCAACAATCCATGTACTGAAGTCTTGTTTTCTTCCCAGTTTTCATAAATCAGTAGCAAAAAAAAGAAAAATAGTGTGTTGCTTTGTGCCAAACTTCAAAAACCATCTGCTGTGATGTAAGTAGGTGAAAGACATACAGACATATTGTTAATGTAAATTTTTGATCCAGGGAATGTTAAAAATGACATTGCACTCCCATGCTACAACCATCTACAACAAAACAGTATTTGCAGAGCGGATTCTGGCTTGTGGTGGGGAGGGGTTAGGAACTTTTCATCCGCAAAAAAAAAAAAAAAATGCATGTGAAACTTCATAAGCATTTTGAGTTTCTGAGCACATTGTAAGCTCAGAATCATCTCTAACTGGTTGAGACTGAAATCTGGAATAGTGCGCAGGATGGATGAAAAGCCCTGGCTGGATGGCTGCACTAATCTGATTTTCTTTCTATCGTGAGCCTATGATGCAGAGGGGAAGTAGTGAAGGGTGCTTTGATATTACCATCCACATTGCTGCAGGCCTTATTGAAGATGATGAAGGTAAAGTGTCTGTCAATGTGCAGGACCTCCTGGACTCCTGGTCCCTTTTTGGCTTGTGCTGCTGCAGCACAATGTTTTGCCCACAGAATTTGTTTTGTAGGGTCAAAAACCTTCATTCTTGTGTGAAGTCTAGTGAATATGCTTTTGAGGAGCTCCATTCAACAATGCTTGTGTTTCCTCTGGTGCCACTGCAGCTGGGCTGGGTAACTTCCACYGGCCCCTGTTTGATCTGTTTGATACCAGACTCGGTGCCGGGTAGAGTGTGTAGTAGTGGGAGCAGGGATGAAGCTGTTTGCACTTACCAAGTACAACCAGTTCTCTAATTGTAAATGGTGTGATCTCAGTGCCAAGGCAAGCAGGCAAGTTTTGCCCGCAGACCTGAGGTACCCACCGTGCTCGGGACCAGGAATAAAAGAGCCCACAAATCCTATTGCACATTTGTGTAGGGGGCTTGGGAGGTGCAGAATGTTTGCCCTGGTGTTTTTTTGCTTTTGCAGTACTAAGGCAGATGCACATGATTCATACTCCTATAAGCCAAAACATGTGCTCCATAAAATATGAATCCTCAGCATAAATCTTAGCTGCTTTGAAGAGAAGTGCCTTTTTGTGTCCTTTTTGAAATTTGAGTAGCACTGTTTTTTCAAAAGATTTTATAAAGKTTTTTTTTTTCCCTAAGACTAAAGAATGAGTATTTAATGATTAAATCTCCACTGAGAAATGCTCCCAGGACTGGCACCGCTGTACACACAATTTAGTGCACCCCTGGCCCGAAATACCGTGTGCTGCCAGTGTTAGGAACTGACCACTAGCAATGTTGTTCTCACAACACATCTGCTCTCATCCATGCGAATTCATATCTCTGAATAAAGCGTGTAATGCGGTTAACAGCTCAGTGGGTCAGAAAAATGAAGAATTAATGAGGTGGATGGCAGTTTTTGCTTGCTGTCCAGAGTGGCTCTGTGTGATGAGCGGCTGTGCCAAGGAGGCTGTGGTAGTGAGGTGGCAGCCGGGAGGGAGAAGCATAGTTCCATTTAAAAATATATGTAATTGCAGCCTCTCATAGGGCTAGTTTAGAGTGAACAGCAAAAGGATTACGAAAGGTCAGAGGGCGTCCGTGGCTCCCAAATTATCCTGTTATGCAGGATTAAAGAGGAGAAAGCCCTTTGGCAGGAGAGGTCCTGTGTTGTGGATGGTGCTACAGAAAGCCCTTCTTAATGATTGGGAGTGTTGCAACAGGATGAACTGATTCATTTGAGARGTCCCTTCTCCTTGCTTCCTCCTGCAAGCTGCTTCTGGCTTCAGGCTTTGAAGAAAGCACCACTGAAACAAAGCTGCAGAAAAGTCGGCTTCTTTTGCTAGTTCTGCCCAGTGGTAAAGAGCAAATGTCCCAAACTGTGGTGTGCAGCGCTGACTTCTGCCACATTTGTGTCATAAACATTTTTATTGGTCAATCAACACATGGGCCTCTAAAAAAAATGGGATGGGAGACAGGCCAACATGAGTAAGTCATTTAACAAGGTATGGTGTGATCAAACTAGCTCCTTAAAAATATGCTGTATTTGTTACTGCTCCACTGGGAGGAGAGAGGGAATAAAAAACGGTGTTTTGGGGAGAATATGCAGATGGTGTTCTTATTATTCATGTTTTTCATGCTCCTGATGGAATGTTCCCGCTTGAAATGCAGTGCGGGTTGCTACATGCTCTGTGGCGATCTGCAGAGCTCCTGGTTTTGTTCTGCTKCCCCGTTTCCTGGGACTGCGGCCGCTCTGCTGCGCTGGGGCGTCACTGCGCTGGATGCAGCCTGGGTGTCTGTGTGTGCAGAGGGAGGCCGGGTCTGCACGTGTTGCCCTGTGAATGTGGCCATGAAGGGGGGAATGCGCATGTCCATTCCCTGTATTTTCTTAGACATGACCTCATAGCACAGCCCGCTGCTGATACAGTCCAGTTTACAGCTCGGTCATAAAGATGGAGTTTATGAGAACTGCTGTTTTCTTATGAAGGACCAAGTGGTTGGTATTTGCTATGGTCTGGGATTTTACAAGGCTGTATGGAGTAYGTATCAAAAAATCTCCATCTTTTCCCTTTCCAAATTTCAGCTATCGGGGGACAGGCTGCCAGAGGACAGGCCTTTCAAAGAGCTTATAAAATACACTGTTTCTTCTTAACAAAGTACTTAAATTTGACTGTGGTCTGGCTGACTCGGTTAGCTCTCTGTGGCACAGAGGGCATTTTCTTATTTCTTTAAAAGCAAGATTAAAACCTGCTGGCAGGCAGAGGTAAAGCTCATTTCCTTCAAAGATTTATGTTAGTTTTATTGGGCATGTTGCCCTTGGATAGAAGTTAGTTTGTCGTCTTTCCAAGGGGCCCCTGACTAGAGGCCTTGTAGGGCTTTTTATTATTTTTACTGTTGTTACAGTCCCTAAAACACCACGCAGACTTGAAGTGTCAGATGTTTAGTTCGTGCTTGGTTACATGAGCAAACCCCATGTGSTTTGCAGAGCGTGGCATCAGCGCTGGGATGTTTGCTCATAGTTTGTACTCAAATTAAACAGAAAGCAATTAATTGGCAGGCATTTGCAAAGCAGGACGTGTCATGAGGCTTGAGGCTTTGGTGCTCCTTGGGCAGAAGGCTGCCCAGAGCCCCGTGCTGCCTCTCTGGTCAGGATCAGGAGGTGGGTCTGGAGTCCCCGGGTGCCTTTGGAGAACAGCGAGCGGGAGGTGACTCTGTGCATGCAGCAGCCCCGCAGGCTCCCGTCTTCCCTGGAAAGCACCTTTCTCACCCTTGGCTCCCCACGAGCCTTCGTGGGGGATCCTGGAGGAGCCGCGGAGGCCCCGGGGCTGCAGGATGCAGCCGGACGGCAGAGATGCTGCTGCTTTTGGCTTTGTGAGGGTGTTGCAGTGGGACCTCATGGCTTCCGGATTACTCTATGAAAATTCCCCAAGCACTAATGCTTTACTATAGCCTCTCTGCTGTTTGCCCATCCCTCACTCCCAAACCAGAGGTTTGCAGCTTAGGTGGGTGATTTTCTGAGGAGATGCATGACATTTATATGCCGTATCACTCCCAAACAACTCTGAAAAGTGAGTCTGCAGCTTGTTTAAAGGCAACGAGGTGTCCCTGCATGTGCAGGGATTGGACTAGGTGATCTCTAGAGGTCTCTTCCAAACACAACCGTTCTGTGATTCTGTGARCTGTTCTTKTGTCTTTTGTGCAGGTGTCCTAAAGGATTATCTGCGAGAGCTGCCCTCTCCCCTGATAACCAAGCAGCTGTATGAAGCAGTGCTGGAGGCCATGGTGAAAAATCCCTTGAAAATGACAGCAAGCGGCTGTGAAAATGACCCAAGTGATTCTGAGCACACAGCAGCCCTTCTGGATTGCCTGCCAGATGTTGAGAAGGTGAGTGATTATTAGTGTGTTCAAGTGATAAATCACCAGCTTCAGAAAATTTTCAGTGTGAAAACATTTTCACATTGGAYGTAAAACGTCAAAATGTGGATGCCTGTTTTCTGACTTAAAGATCTACCAGGGTTCTTGATGTTCTGTTTCTTTGGCTGAAAATACTTTCATGCTTTTGATAAATCAAAGCTTTATATTTACTAATGTGTTTTAGTTTGTAGCTTATCTTATCTCTGTAACACTGAATGAAAAGCTGGGATTGCCATGTTTTAAAAACATTTTATCACAGACTATTCCTAGGCAGGGTCATGCTACGTTTCTGTGGAGCTTCCTTCTGTATGCCATGCCTAAATGAGGGAATGCATTCCTTTTCCTAAACATGTGCCATGAAGCCCTAGCTTGCAGTGTTGTGTCAGTGCACTAATGCTGTGTAGTGTTAGAAATCCAGCTCTGGAGGAAAAAAGGCACTTGGCCTGTTGTACTGGGGAAGTGAGAGAGAGGGAATAGACTGCACAGTGCCTGGGGATGGTGCTGTGCAAGCTCTGCAGGCAGAGCTGTTGCTGTCTTTGTTCGCCTACTAGATGCGTGACATCAGGTTTGGGATTTATTGTCTTCTGACTTATGTATTTGGAAGTGCAAATAGAGCAAAAAAGTTAGGATAATATCACCACATTAGTCTAGTGTCAAGTTTTCCCCCAATTTTTTTTTCYTGTAGGCTACTCTGAAGATGCTCTTGGACCACCTGAAGTTAGTGGCTTCCTACCACGAAGTAAATAAGATGACATGCCAGAATTTAGCCGTATGTTTTGGTCCTGTGTTACTGAGCCAGAGGCAGGAGACCAGCAACCATAACAACAGAGTCTTCACAGACTCGGAAGAACTTGCCAGTGCTCTGGACTTCAAAAAGCACATAGAAGTTCTTCACTACTTGCTCCAGCTATGGCCAGGTAATGTTTCCCGAGTCTGATCACAGCAAGGTATCAAACCATCGATGTATGATTTCTATGTGTGACAATGACACAGTGACATTCACGGGATAACTGAGTAGTATCAGGATGCTTAAAATATGAAGTAATATGCCCTAACTTCTTCGTGTAAAGGAAATATGACAATTCTGTGATCTACTTTTTGTATTCTGCCRTTTTGCTTAGTGGAAAACTTGCCTTTTTACTTCCTTACCAAGTGAGAGAGTTTGAATTTAATTTAAAAAGCTGTGAAATTGCTTTATGTAAGTAAAGCAGCCAGAGAAGACAAACCAGAAAATAATGCTTTTACTTATTAATTACGGTTTGGGTGTTTTTGTTTTGTTTTAAAACTGCTTTCCTGCTTCGACAGTCCACGACACTGTGTGGGATTCATTAGTTTGGTCTCTCAGAGACCTAAGGCGTGTTTTTATTTTTGCATTTGTAATTTGGCAGAATTGGTTACATCCTTATGCAACTTTAACGTCTTAACCTGAGTAGCTCGTATGATTTTGCATGATTTGGGATCACTTTGCTGTACGAAGGAAGGTGAAATTCTGGTCCTTTTAGCGACCAAAGCAAAGGTAATTATTTTTGCTAAATTGTCGTTTTTGAATGGGGAATAATTCTCTAGTGTTCACATTTCCCTTGGTATTTAGAGAAGCATAAGTCAGTGGAAATATTCATAATGACATCAGTGAGCCTTGGATGTCAGCCCGGGGTGAGTTTCTCTGCATTTCTTCTGCTTAGAAGTTAGGTATTGAGCTGTGGTGTTTTCTTGCACAAACACTGCATGACCGCTCAGCGCAGGTGCAAATATTGCTGCTCTTCACTTTCAGTATGGAGAGCTTGAGGACGACGCAGTGAAGTGATATTAGACCCAGAGCAGCTGTTATTGTTTTCATATGCTCTTTGGCCGAGCAGTTGTTGAAAGCTACCTAATCATACAGAAGATGGATCCATTGCTCCACGTAGTCGTATCTTCCTTTTCACGGTGCTCTGATTAATGRTTGGATGGAGAACGAATTTGTTTTGTAACCTGGATAATTTAATGTCTGCTTCTCAAATCTGAACACTGTAAACCCTTTTATTTTGACTTGGAGAAGACTCCTGTCATCTGAACAGCTTCTTCTTACTCACTGTTCAAATATATTAATCTCTGCTGAATTCCCACACCAGTTGAAACACGAAACAGAATTACAGTTAATCTAAATGAGTGACATGTCCAATGGGATTTGTTTTTAAAGAAGGGCTGGACTTGGCAGTGCTGCATTACTTACAGTGTGACTGCATTTGAGACAACCAGAGGGACTCTGTGCTCAGTGCGTAAAATATTTCACAGCTCATTTAAGGAGTGTTTGGATAAAGGCACCTAACATTTGTTTGAGCCTCTTTGTAAACAAAGATTTTTGATTTTAGCAATTTACATTCCAGAAAATAGAAGAAAAATGGTAGTTATTAAACATATAACATAAAAAACATATTGTGAGTGTGGAGTAGATGGCATTGATACAGATAAAGGGGAAAAAAAAAGAACACAAATGTTGGAAATACTTTTCTAATAGTTTATGGAAGGACTTTTTCAGGGTGGGGGCAGAATTCCTGCTGCAAACATTATGGAGATTCCCTTTTCCTAACCAAGTGGTGCTTGAACCACATCATTCTGAAGGCCAGAAAGGGCTCCTGGCCTACAAACACATTGGCAAAAAGCATTTCTGACAAATTGTATTTAAAAGCAAACAAACAATAAAAAGCCCAGCGGGTAGGGGCAGGTGGCTCTGTCAGTTCCTAGATGTGAGCTGTAAATGAACGAGCCGTAGCAGACAGTGTGCAGGCTGGACATATGAACAGGTAGTCTTCAGCATCATTTTTAAACGACGATTTTAAAATTAAAGTTTTAAATGCATACATATTTATATATTTTAGTGTAGGGGGAGAGATAGAGAGGTAAAAAAGACAGATTTATGATAGTTTGCTTTCAAATAGCTGTTGCTCGCTGCTCTGCCATTAGTCCCAGTGGGTGAGTTGCTTTCCTAGTCTTGTAAGTTCAGCCACAGGTCCTGGGAGGACGTCACCATCTGAGGGCTCTGYGTGACGTAGAGCTGCTCGTGTAAACAGCAGGCTGTGGTCCCGCTGTGCTCTGCCCCGGGGTGACCGTGTCCTGACGCGTCTCCTGCCACCCTGAGTAGGGGGCTCCTCGGGATGTGACCCCAGTGGGCAAAACTCTGAAAAGAAGAGCAAGAGGAAAGCTGGTGTGAGTTGTGGGGCAGCTTCCTGACTCACTGCAGACAAGCTGGGATGTTTCCTGCACCAGTTCTAGGGCTGCTGCGGAGACATTTCCAGTGAGATGCACGGGCTGAGGCTGRAGCCCGCTGGCCCGCTGCTGGAGAAGGGACAGGGGTGGGAAACGTGGCCTGAGGAGGGAGGTAAGAGCTGCTTGGCAGCAGATGTGGCACCGAAGCTCATCACAAAACCCTGGGGCTGATTCACAACGTGACTGCTGTGGGAAATGGGCAACGAGACGTAGCTCTAGACGTAGGAATTTGCATTTATTATCAGTGATGCAAAAGGTAAGTGGTAGAGTTCTCATTCACCTTGTCATAAATGCTAAATGGGATCCCTTGGCTTGCAAGAACTGTGCCAGGTGGATTGTGCTAAAATTGAAGTAAAATGTGAATGTAGAAAAGTAAACAAGCAAGCGCTTGCATAATGTAAACAGAACAGTTGGACCTGAAAAGATCACAGGCTAGTCTCTTAAATTTAATCTGCCTGTAGATTTATAGACAACTTGATAATAAACATGTTTTGCAATACTTCCATTTCCTTATTTTTCCAGCTGAAAACAAATGTTCTTTGTTCGGCTAGAATACGTATTACTGGCAAGTTATCGTTAACCCGTGGACCTCCGTCTTAATGGAACATAGTCCAAACAGAAAAGCTTTGTTATTGTAAAAGGAAGAAAAAAAGCAGTGATATATATTGCATCGTGTCATGCAAAAGGAAAGTAAGACTAAAATTCTCTGGAGAGACCTCTAACGTGGACCCAGAAAGAGAAACATGTGGCATATCTCAGGATTAAGCTTTATGCTTAAATGCCAGGAATCTAACAACAACAACAAAGTGACATTCTGCCTTGTAAGCACATAAAGTGCACTGTATTTCTAGCAGCGAACAGGAATAGAAAGTCTCTGTGTCTAATTACAGGAGGTTACAGTCTCCTCAGAGCCAAAAGTTCTGCAGTTTAGGCATGTAACAGGCACAGGCCAGTAAAAATATTTGTACTGTTTACCGTAGGTAGCCGGTAAGACTGGAGGACACTGTTAGTAGCTTGTGCTGTGTAATCATGAGTTCAGGTAACACCGCTGGGCCTGTCTGAGGGCTCCTCCGACACGGGCTGTGGCTGCTTCGAAAAGTTAATGCAGATGAGCTGCTATTAATAGTGCAGAGCCCTAGAACCGAAGAGAAACACCGGAGTTCAGCTCTGGGGTGTCCTCAGCTTCTCTGGGTGTTTCTCAGCAGGGGAATTTTGGTTGTGTTTTTAACCACTTTGTGCTGTGCCTGCTTTCTGTTGGCCTTTTTAGCCTGGAAGGGGTGTGTGAGCTGAGCTGTTTGCTTCTCTCGGAACCAGAGCTAGATGGCGATTAACTCATGCAGTGAGTTCAATCCATGCTCTGGAAGCTTCTACTTTAGATAGATTTTTCTCAGTTGCAGTTTGAATCTGGCATGAATCTTCAAAACTGAGCTTTTTACCGTAGTTTTGCTAATTAAATATGTTGAACAATAGCAGAAAACATAATAGCGGAATGTGGTGGCAGTAATTCTGCATGTCTTCATGCATGTTCATGTAGGTGCCATGTAGAGGGAAGAAAACGAACGTTCATTCGTGGTTTGCTTCTTGTTGCAGTGTGAATTCAGCTGACTGGGGTTTAACTTCTTTTTTGTTCTAGTGCATCATTCAACTGCCAAAGACCCAACGCATCTGAATGCTTTTTCAGAGCACCCGTCGTCCCTGCATTACCTGAGACCTAAGAAGCAAAGACCTCAGATGTTGAATTTGAGCGGTACTGAAATGGCCGGGGTGCTTAGGCCGCGGCCAGCAGGTCTGGACAGCCCTTCGAGTAACCGCTATGCAGGAGACTGGAGTAGCTGTGGGGAAAACTACTTCTTAAACCCCAAAGAGAGCCCAGATGAAGCAGATTATGATGATGTGCCTTCGGAAGACACAGAAAGCGGGGATGAGAGCAGCAGAGTGGATGGGTCAGATGGCCTCATGAAGCATCCCCAGACCGTTCCCAAGGAACGCGCGTTTCGGAGCTATCTGACAATGCAAGCCATCGATTCCGCAGYGGACCACAGGGCCAACCTCAAAGACCTGCAGGAAAGTATAGATATTCTCATAGGAAACCTGGAAAGGGAACTCAACAAAAACAAGCTGAACATGAGCTATTAATTCCTGTCCTGCATGATGTCTCTTCCTGGCGCTTCTCCGCTCCCCCAAGGGCCGGTTTTCCGTGAGCRGAATGGCCCGTCCTCATGAGGCCGTGGCCCACCTGGAACCAACCAACCCCTTTTAAGACATTCCGTTTATTAGAAGAACATGTTGGCCTGATCCTCTGGTGTTTGAGACAGAGCCATAGAGAACATGAAGTGACTCTACAAAGTGGTGGCAGATCCTCCCTAAAAATACTATGCACTTAGGCAGTTTGGGCAATATCTGACAGAAGATAAAGCAGCATCTCTGCTATTTGTCACAACAGTCAAACTCCACGTTCCTGAGACTCTAATTCTGGTACAGATGCTCCTCTGAGCAGAGGATTAACGCTGCTTGGCCTGAGATTTGCAGCATGAACTTTAGATAGACTCATTTTACTATATATGCAATGGCTGCTATGATAAATGCTTTATATAATATTTATATATAAAGTTTTAATTGTACAAATATTAATGTATTCATGTATTAACACTTTTCAGTAATTATTTAAACAAGCAAGAATTAAATATTTTTCTAACCTTGTTTGTATATATTTATGTATAAATGTGCATGTGTCTGTAGCCACTTTTGAAAGGAAAAGAATAAAAATTACCTAAGGGTACTATTTCTAAGAAAACACGTTTAATGATGCCGAGGTTAAGTTACTCCTTCAGTAATGTAGCCTTTGATTTATGCACAGAAACATGCCCAGAGAGAAGGCAGGATGAATGATTAATGTAAGTGACCTTGTGTCTTGTAGGAGCATCAGTTCGCAGGTGTTGACTATTAACCTTGCTTTAAAAAACAAAAACAAAGAAATTAAATTAATTTTAAGGATTTTAAGGATGACTAACAGTGAATTGTTCTTCTGTCTTTATGGGGTAACAAGTATGCACAGTAAGGAGATGAAGGCTGTTCATCTTTTAATTTGTTTCCACATGTTTTTTGGTGCTTAAAGGCCTGGAACATGTTTACTTTTTAAAGACTTTGTCCTTGTAAACTCTTACCTTATTCCCCACATTTTGATACTCCTTTTTTTCCCTCCAATTTCAAGTGCTTTTGCTGTGGTACTTTTGGCTGTTGGTTATTAGAAGTGCATAACTCTCTCTGGAAGGGATGCACGTCTCGGATCCTACCCAAAATCAATTATTTTTGGAAAATTGAGTTTTCATGCAGTTGGGGACATGTGGGCGGGATTACAACGTGCTGTGGCTTGGTTAGATTCAGCTTTCGCCATACGCTCCAGATTGTCTTTTGTTTTGAGTCATTTATGGTGAATAAGCAATTCATGTTAACAAAACTCATTCAATGTTTAAACAAATTGCTTATAGGTTTTTGATAGTTGCTCTAAGGAACAAAAGGAAACCGACTCACTGCTTTCCTTTGCAGGTCACCCTCAGTGAGGAGCAGGGGTTTGGGAGGGTCAGGGCTGGCTGGTTGTTTTGTTTTGAGACTTCAAACACCAGGTCTTTGCCAGCTGCAGGATAGCATTCGGTTCCATCTCTTTGGTACAAGGTTGACGCACCACCGTGGCTTTCCGTTCACCGTGTGGGTAAGTGCTTTTTTTGCTAACACYGTACTTCCGTATATTACCTGATTGTAGTGTTATTTATTTACAGTAGCTAGGGATTAAGAAATTCTTATGACAAATGTCATCATTCTCTTTAAAGGAGTTGCTTTAGCATGGTTTCAAATGGTTTATTCAAGTTCATTAATTTATTTTTATAAGTGTTAAAAGATGCAAAGCAATTATTGCAATATAATGTATGAAAATGTAAATTTAACCTGAAGCATTTATCAGTAAATCAATGTATTTTTAAAAACTTTTATACCTACAGAGTGCACATACTTTTTAAAATTTTCATTCTAAATAAAATTTGAATTAAGAATAAAAGTTGATTTAGCCCAGATAGTGCTTATTTAAAGCCAATCTCATATGGTGATATGCATTGGCAGCACGTGAATTAATTTGATGGACATTTAATTTTTCAGAGGGTGTTTAGTTGAGGGTTTTGTCTGATTTACCCAGTGTTTCTGTTACATAATTCGAAAAAATAATAGTTTAAATTCAAAAGCAGTAGTATTTTAAGGAACTATTCATGCCCAACATTTTGACAGCATTTCTTTACATACTGCAGGGAGATTCTGATGCTTTTGGATATACCCTTTCTTCCTGTATTGGGTATGTAAATTTATTAAAAACAGTTTAAAGATTTTTGCATTTGAAGTTCTTTGGTAAGTGGTATGTGACGCTTTAGTGTTTTGTGTTTGTCAGTGAGGGGTAGCGCTGGCTGGAAGGGGCTGGATCGGAGGCCATGGCGCAGGGCGGCGCAGGGCAGCAGGGCGCTGCTGTCCCCGGCAGGGTGAACGCCTGTGGGTGCTCCCACAGAAACAGCTCCCACCGCATCGCATGCCTTGGCTCGGCCCAAACTCGGGCATTTCTGCTACCAGAACAGCAACGTTGAATCGAGTGGCGAGCACAGTGGGGCAGTTTGCGCCATATTCCCTTTCCAAAAGGTGCGGTTTCATGTAGCTGGCTGATACCTTCCTTGTCTGCTGCCCTGAATCTGAGCCCTTGTGTGTGCTCTGACCTCGCGGCTCTAAATGATCTGCGCATAGGGCCTTGTGGTGCCTGGAAGGGGCAGTGCTCATGGCGCCCGTCTCCTTCGCGGCGCCACAGGGAACAGGACAAGATGGCGCCCTCTGAGGCGGCCGCATCCGCCTGGCCCCGGCAGCCATTTCACTCTGCCTTTGCCGTGTGCCTGTGGGTTGCAAGAAGCTTTAAGGGCAGCTTCACACTGCTTCCCTGGTGTCACCTCTGGAAGGTGGTGGTGAGATGTGCCCTCCGTGCCAGGGCTTGGCTTGTTGGCTAAAAAAGAAAGGCTTCTCCCTTTTGTCTTCTTCCCAAATGTGTAATGTATGTGGTTGTTTAGTAATGCACCAGAAAGGCAGGAAAGGTAGCAGCAGCTATTCAGGCATGGTCTAAAAATAGAGGAAAACATCCCCAACAGAAGTAGATACTCAGGATTTTTATGGAATAAATCTGTAAATCTGCTAAGCCAGGGACACATCTGGTTATGCTGCTGACAGACTGTAACTCATCCTCCCTCTTTCCCTTCCCAAAGCAGAGGTGTGTTTGTTTGTTTTAACAGTAAAGATGACTAAAAAAGTCTTCATCCAAAACTGTGGAGCTAGCAACAGGTGAGAGGAGGTTATTTAGAGCAGGAGCATTGGTGCTACCCTTCGGTATCACTGCAATGCCCTGATTTTAAGATGTCATCGCTGGATGAACTGTTTGTCCTGTGGTGTTCTCAGAGCAGCAGGGCCTGTGTCTTGCCCACAGCGGCTGCCAGGCATGGCTGCTCCATACACCACCACGTATGGGAGCAGGGGGATTACCCGCAGGGGATGAACGATCAAGGCAGGTTACGTCATCTCGCGTCTCGGGGTCTGCTGGTGCRTTTACTAACAGCAATTAGGAGCAAGGCAATTAGGACCCCTCGGAAGGGTCTGCACTGCTGTTGTCCCGCTCCCYTCAAACTGCCCTGCTCTGGTGATGCAGAGCCCAGCCAGCCTCCGGTTTCCCACTGTGGCAGGAAAATGGGGCTGTGCACCATGTGCTTGTCTCCATCCAGGCTGTGAACGCAAGGAAATGGAGGTGGTGCCTCGGGGCGCGGGAGCCGCTGGCCACCATGCGGCTCTGTGCGCGGGTGCCAGCGGAGCCCGAGCCTCCCTCGGCTGCAGYGCGGAGCTGCTGCCAAGCACAGGCCTTGCGGGCTTTTAAGACCAACACAGCATTAACTGGCAGAAATAATTTTTATCAAAACTCTAAAATGTGCATCTGTGGTGCCTTGTGCCTGCGTTTTGGTTCACGCTGCGCTGCTTTATTGAGCAAAATTCCTCTCTCGGCCTTGTTGTTTTCTCCACGACAGGCGGAGGTGGGCTGCTCCTGTCCAGCACCGGGGGGAAACTGTTCTCAGCACTGAGGTCAGGTTTAGGAAATTTTCTATGTGGGAAGGCAGGAGGATAAATGCGCTAACCAAAGTCTCTCTGCAGTCCAGGAGAGCTGGTGCTGGGAGCGGGGCAGCCGGGCCCGGGAGGGCAGCGCTGGCCCCGCCACGTCCCCGTGTCMGCGGCCGTGCAGCACCAAGGCACTGCTGCAGCTCCGTGTCGTAGCTGAAGGGCTGCGAGGAATGGAGCTCACCAGGGTTCTCCTGGTTGGCCGTGACCGTGGGGTTGATCTCAGTGCATGGGTAGTTTGCAGCCCTGTTCATCAGTATCTGTAAGATGACCCAGTGTGACATTCTAATGAAATCCAGAGCTGAGAGCCAAAACCTGGACCTTTTAATTAACCATAATTTGACCATTTTATTTGTGGGATATTTGCATACTTGTATAAATCAAATTGTTGGTTAAATATTGGTTTAGCGGAATTGTGTTTTCTTTTTGCTGGAGCTCTCACTGTAAACCTCATTTTGCAGGTACTAAGGATAYGGTTGTTAGTTTAGAGATAGCTTAATACATAGTTTCAAAGAATATAATTAATTTTTTTAAACCTACGAAAAATATTTTGGGAACATGCTTGCATCATTTTTATTTTCTATGCCTCCCAGGAGAAAGAGGGGCAYGATCCAGTGGCACTAAACCTACCTTAAATCTGACTGAAGTTTAGCCAAAGCAGTAGCCATCCGTGATGGGGGGGAGCCTGGTCCTAGGAAACTGTAGGGTACGTTGCTGACAGCACCTAGAAACCTGTCTGCAGTGTGTGCTCAGGAGACGGGAGGCTCTCGGTGATCCAGTTTCAGGACACTTGGGCTGGGCCTCGCTCCGGGCACGGGAACTGGCTATTACTTACCCAGCGAAGCTCCGCTCTGCAAATCCTCGTGTGTCAGTTGTCCTTTGTGCTTTAGTTTCTCCTGTGACCTACGGACATTTGTTTGACAGGAGCCCGTGACCCTCGAGCGCTTTGGTGAGTCCCAGGAAGAGTGAATTCAGCCGTATAGAGTTTAATCTGTTCTCCTCTGATACATTTAATTCCCCTTGAGAGGCGCTGGCGGGTACACGGTGCCTGACCTGACTGCTGAAACCCAGGGCGCAGGCAGAGCCCTGCGTGTGGAGAGAGCCGTCCCTGGGGCCAGGGATGAGCATTAACAGTAATGAGCTCTTACTCATTTACACTGCTAAATATTAAAGCTGCCGTCTAACACAGCTCAGCATTTCTCAAGAACAATTCTGTCCGAAAGCCACAGTATGTGTAGRAAAGCTCTTTTTTTTTCTCTCTCTAAACAATGCTGATTTCTTTTAGAGAACAATATATTTTATGGGCTTGGCTTTCTGCTTGTTAAACATTCGCCAGGCTCAAATAACCATCATTTTGGTTATGAC